GGTGTGTATCAGATTCACTGTCCAGGTTTTTTAGTGCCCCTCCTCACTCTGATTCTCCTATTATTTAGTTTATCTTCTGGTAGGCTAAGATAATTATTACAGAACAATATTACAAGAATCCTAATGAAAATTTCTAAAGAAAGAAATAAAAAACTGACAATTTTAATGCCTTGTTTGATTAATTATTTTTACTTTTTTCTTGCTTTATTTTGTTCTTCCTCTCAATACATGATGGACCATGCTTTGTCTGTGGCTTGCTCTAGCTGTTATTTAGAAGATTAGCAATTCATTCTAAATTTAATGTTTAAAACATTTAAAAGCATATTACATCTAATTTTACCAGTGAAATATAACTTCCATTGGAGACAGCTTTTTCTTTTATGGAAAACAAAGAATGTAGCACTGATTTTTTTTAAATTTTAATATAATTAAGCAATGAGATGGTTATTCTTCCTGCTAAAGATAGATCACACCAGAATTTGGAGTGAAAAGCCAAAACACTTTTCAACCAGATTATTCGTCAGTGAAAATATTATATTTTCTATTATAGCACATTTGTTTTAATGATTTATGCACAGGTCTGCCTTGTCCACACACTTACATGCCGAGATATGACTTTTCAATTGCAATGTTGGAAGCCAGGAGAAAGATGAGTCTAGCCTGCCTTCTAGCTCTACAAAAGGAAATACTATTTCCCATCAGGCTATTGGCTTTTTGAGAGCAGAAATTGTATATCTCATACACACTACTCTCAGTAGAGCTAAAGTAGATTTTATATACATATGCATATATATGTGAAATATCTTGGACGCAGTATATTTTGATCCAAATATTCAGCAGACTTCAGCAGTGATGGACTGAATGTTCGTGTATCTCTCTACCCACTCCATCTGCCTCTAAATTAATACTTAAAACTCTAATCCCAGTGGGATCAAACTTCTCTCTCTCCATGCACCAAGGAACAAGGAAAGGCAGCTCTCACCAGGATCAGTTGGTAGCTTGATCTGGGACATGCAGCCTCAGAACTGTGAGAAAACGAATTTCTGCAGTTTAAGCTTCACAGTCTATGGCGTTTGTTATGGGAACCCAAGCAGGCTAAGACAGTGAGTAGTAAGATGAGGGTGAGGATGAAGGAAAGGTTTCTGGCCCAGAAGGCTAGAGGGACATTAAGTCCAATATTTGGGGTACAGAACCCAGGAAGAGGAGCAATTGGTTGTGGTTAGTGGAACAGCACTGATTATTTGCACTTAGAATTAACCTCATTCAAACCCAGAAATATAGAAGTTAGTACTTAAAACCATTTATTCAACAGTGTTTATTCATCTCCTAGTTGTGGCAGGCAATGTGCTTGTCTTGAGAATATGAACCAAACAGGTTCATTCTCTGCTTCAAGGCTGTCATAGTCCAGTGGGGAGAAAGACCTTCCTGTTTGTAGCTGGAAGGACCATTTTCCTTTCCCCACTTCCAAAGATTTGGAGCTTATAAGTAATAAAGAGGTAAAATTCAACATGGACAAGAGCTTTGGAGTTATAACCTGGCTATGAACCTGGACTTTGGAATAGACTAGCTGAGTGGTGACCAGAGGCAGGCCTACTAGCCCTTCTGGGTCTTAGTATCCTCACCTGTAACTGTGAAGTGGTCATAGCATCAGGTATGAGATGGGAGGTAGAAATGTTTTGTAAAATGCAATATCCATGTTAGCAACTGTTGTCATTATAAAACCCACATTTTAAATCTAAATTTGAGGTGAGCCATAGACAGCAAGTTGGAGATGAAAAGCCAGCTTTGAACTCTGCGGGTGACAGGGGTCCTGGGATGGGAGATAGAATAAGACTGATGTACAGGGGGTGGCAGGGAGAGCAGGCTTTGGGGTCCTGCAGACCTAGTTCAAATCACAAGTCAGTGGGTTATCAGCTATGGAAAGCTGAGCACATTATATAACTGATCTGAGCTTTAGATTCTTCATCTACAAAAGGGAAGTTGATAAGACCTACCCAGGAGAGTTGTCCTATGTATGTAAAGGCTTGGCATGTGCCTGGCAGAGTGCTCGCTCAATTCATGACAACTTGTTCCTATTAATATTATCATTTTCCTCTCCTACCCTCTAAGGGGTTTGCTTAGTTGGTTAAATTACTTGAGATGCAAAAACATGAGGAAAAGGAAGGGCTATGACCACTTGTTAAAAAAAAATTCCTTTTAACTGTAAAGAAAGGAAGTGCAGCTTGGCTTTCCTCTATTAATCTATAGTGCAAATATAACTCTTGTAGAAAATGGGCATTTTGCTAGATGGCTTGAAGCCAGAGTATACCCACCTTGGTAATTGTTCCTTGCAGTAAATCTACCAATCACTGTTAGTAAAGGTTCTCAGAAGGCAATGCTTCTCCAACTTTAAGGGGCACATGAATCACCCAAAGGCTTGTTAAAATGCAGATTTTCATTCGGTGGATTTAGAGTGAGGCTTGAAATTCTGCATTTCTAAAAAGCTCCCAGGTGAGGTCCATACTGCTGGTTTATAAACACATTTTGAGGAAGTTGCAAGGCTCCAAAGGGACATGGAAATAGCTTCCTTGACATGGTATTCACTGTAATAGCCTGCTTCTCTTTAGTGATCTACCTAATTACAAACTACTAATAGAATGCTAACAAATCCTTTTTTCAGATAAGATTTAGAAGTTCTGCAACAGCATTCATTACAAGTCAGTAACGGACTTTTTGGAGTTGCCTACTATGTGCAAGGCACTGTACAAGATGCTGGAGTATAAAGGTAAGTAAGACACAATTCCTTTGTCTAAAGACTGTTCTTATTCTAACACTGTATGCCCTTGAGGACTGTTAGCTTTGAGAGCAGTTTTATTGTCTCCCCTGGTGGTTGTCTAACACCACATAGATACTTAGTAAATATTAAGTGAAAGGATGAATGAGTTCACAGGAGTTTCATTAAAAATGTCTTCTACAGCACATGGCAATGAGACAGTACCTTAGCTGTACTCTGTGTTAAATATCAGATGTAGAGTTGGTTAAGTTAAAATGAGACTGACAGGGTAGGCCCCACTCCAATCTGACAGTGTCCTTATAAGAAGAGACTAAAACACAGAGGGACTCCAGGAGAGCACACACAGATCCAGGGGTGACCAAATAAGCACACAGCAAGAAGGCAGCTGCCTGCAAGTCAAGAGAGGCCTCAGAACAAAGCAAATCTGCTGACATCTTGATCTGGGACTTGCAGATTCCAGAGCTAAACCTCTGTTGTTTAAGCCATCCAGCCTGTGGGGTTTTGTTGCGGTAGCTGTAACACATATTTTCATAGCTTTATGCCCAAGATTCAAGATTCCCTGCTGTAAGGAACACAAAATGTGAGAATAATTCTAAGAGTGGATGATGAACCTCAGAGAAGAGTGGGAATGAGTCATGCAAGGATGGGGGTGGGGGTGGGGGATGAGAGGGGAAGGCAGGGAGAATCGGGGGAGACAGTGGCTCAGCTGGGACTAACAGAACTGCAATGTATATTCATTTCCCTCTCCCCTTGATGCCAACAAAAATTTCAGGGCTGTTCTCTCCCAAAATCTGAGATGAAAGCAGCTTTCAGACATTTCCCCCCTTCTCAAGCTACATTTAAATATTTGATAGCATTTCACTTGTCTAAAAATATCACGGCAGGAGAAAACCCCCAGATTCTGTTTGCAAAGTCCTCAAGGTACCTGTGATGTTAAAATAATGAGATTGAATTTTAACAAACAAAATAAAAGCCACAGTCAAATGAGAGTCCTACTAGCCACAGGGAAGGTAGATTTGAAGATTGCTTTTTTAAAGTTAGGGGTTTGAGATTTCGTTTTATTTAAAAAAAAAATGACTCATATGTGCAGATGAGTTTCTCCTTCAAAAAAGTCATTCCAAAAGGTTCTACACTTATCCTAACCATGTCACTGCCCTCAAATCATATCTGGGGTTGCTATCAGGGTTTGTGAGAGAGTCTTCTCTCCATGGTGACTCCTGAAGGTAGATTTGATTTTCAAAAGCAACAAAAGGTTCTTTTGCATCAACTCTGCTTCACTTGGGGGACCCATCAAACTGTAATGGCAGGGACATCCACCCTAAAGTATCCAGGCTGAATTTTTTTGAGTGAATTATACCCAACCACAGCAAACTGTTTCCAAAGACAAGCCCCAGACATGTAGTAAACATGTTATAGGCTTGTCAAGGGAGGGGGTGACTACTCTGAAGGAAACCCTATTTGTCTGGATATACAAGTTTTCTAGTGGTTTCCTTTACCAGAATATTTCCTCAGGTTCCTATCTGTGGTTTCATGGGACAAGTTCCCAGAAGTATCGGGACCTCATTGCCTTAGTCAACTTTGAATCTCCAACCTGGGTACTTGGTGTGTGACACCTGAATGGCTGATGGCAAGCTGATGGGGGGTGGCTGTCTAAGGTGTCTGGGGCTTGCTCTATGTGATTCAAAGGGCAGAAGCAGGACCCAGAAAGAAACGTGGGAGACAATTTTCTTTCCCATGCAAGAAAGACATTGGCAACAGCTGGAGCTGTCCAGCAATGGAATTAGTTTGTCCTGGAAATGGTGAGCATATTGCCAGGGAGGGTTAAAGCAGACTGCTTCTCATGGATACCCTTAGAGGTTCCTAGTGTCATGGGTAGTGTGGGGGGGAGAAGGGGGCAGGAGAAGGGGCGTAGGACTATGCAATGACCTCTACAGGCTATCCCAAGTCCAACAAGCACAATCCAACATGCAATTGGTAGGCCCTGAAAAAATACTGGCATGGGACATGGTGCATATGTGTGCCAAATGTAGGGGGAAAGGCCTGGGGCTCCTCAGCTCCAAGCAAGGTAGGGGAAAGTGAAATGAAGAGAGATGGGGGCCACGTGGGGTGTCCCTGGAGTTTTTGTTATAAGAGGAGAGAAGTTTTGGATACCTGAGCCACATGTTTACGAAATGGTAATACTTTTGAAGGGAGTAGGAGTTGAGGGAGGAGATAGACCACTGCTCACCCTTCTTAAACTCCTCCAGCACCGTGTCCAGCCGCGTATCATTGAAGACGCAGTGCAGGGGCCGGTTGTAGAAGCGAGTGACCGTGAGGAGCGGCGTGCAGTCGTCGGGGTCCACGAAGGCCAAGTCTTTGACAAACAGAATGTCCACAATGTTGTGCCTCTGGTCGCCCTCGTAGACCGGGATGCGAGTGTATCCGCTGCGCAGGATCTCGGAGACCGTGGCGAAGTCGAGCACAGCGTCCGAGCGCAGCATGAAACAGTCCCCGAGCGGGGTCAGCACTTCCTCCACCACCTTGGTGCGCAGCTCCAGGGCGCCCTGAATAATGTTGAGCTCCTCCTTCACCAGGTCGCTGTAGGGGTCTGCAGCCCGCAGCGTCTCCAGCAGCTTCTCCCTGGTGTAGAAGGTGCTGATCTCCTGGCGCAGCGCCCAGTCCAGCAGGCGGCCCAGCGGGTAGCACACAGGGAAGGCTGCAGCCATCAGCAGCCGGGTCAGGCACACGCTGTGCGAGGCGATGGCCAGTCCGTGCCGCGAACACACCGAGTAGGGGCAGATTTCGGCGCCCAGGAACACGGCGCCGGTGCACACAAGTGCGGGCAGCCAGGGGAAGTGAATCCCCGCCTCTGCGTAATCTTCTCCCGCGCCCCCGACGCCCGGCGGTAGCGAGGCGTACAGCCAGCCGGCCAAGGCCGCGTTGGCTCCGGCTTGGCCCAGGAGCAGGGTGCAGAGCAGATGGGTCCCCCTCCCGCGCACGGCCTGCACGCGGCGCGCCTGTTCCTGCTCGGCGGCCGAGCCGCTGTTCCGCAGCACCCGTAACTCCATCGGGTCCAGCGAGAGCAGACTCAAGCGCAGGCCGCTGAACAGGGCAGACAGGGCGAGCAGCAGGAGGGCCCCCAGCACCCGCAGCCACGCCGGGGGCCGGTCCCCGCCGGGGCCGTACAGACGCGGGCGGACGCGCAGCAGGAAGCCGCCCGCGGCGCCGTGGTGGTGCCAGGAGCGCCCATCCCAGGCGCACAGCGAGAAGAGCTTCCCGCCACCGCCCGCGCCGCCCCGCTCTGCCTCGCCCTTGCGCAGCTCCCGCACCCGCACCTGGACTAGAGCCGAGCCCGCCACGCCTCCGGGGCGCAGTGGCCCCAGGACCTCCACGTCCGACGCCCAGTCGCTCTGCTCGCGGCAGCGCTGCGGCCCCGGCGGGCGCGTGGGGACCGCGCTGGGAGCCAAGCCGCTCCCGCCCGGGGGTTCCTCGATAAACACGAGTCGCGGAGCCCAGTCGCCGGTGCCGTTCTCCCTCGGGGAAAGGGTGGGTGCGGGCACCGGCGCCGCGGGCGCGGCCGGCCCGGGCTGGAAATAGACGCGCAGGAGGAAGCTGGTGCCTTCGGCCGCGCGCAGGGTGCCCCCCTCCAGGGACACGCGGCCTCCAGCGGTGTCCTCGGGCCGCAGGCCCAGCAACCAGGCAGCGGCGGCCGGGGGCCGAGGGGACAGGGAGAAGAAGAGCAGCAGCACAGCACCCCGGCTGCAGCAATCCCGGAGCCTGACACCCACCGCTGCGGCCGCCGCCATCCTGCACCCGGCGCGGCTGCACGTGATACTGCAGAAAGCCGAGCTGGAGCCGGAGGGAGGAGGAGCCGGAGCCCGCAACCCGGCCCCAGGCAGGTCACCACGTGTACGCCCCTTGCACGCGTGGGCTGGAGACTTGAGGGATTAGACCCTGCCCCGGCAGGTGGTCCCCGCGGGAGGCTGGAGATGGCCGCGCATCACTGCACCGTACGTAACACTCAGATACACTTCGGTGTATCTGAGCTGCAGCCTGGTGAAAGCTTGGTTCCGAACACGGCCTCCAGCCGTAGGGCGCCCCTCCGCGAACCCCTACCCGGCAGTTATTCCCTTCGGGCGCCACAGCTTCCCCATTGGTGGAGGAAATTTCCCAGCATTTCGCCTGTCCTTCTGCCTCTTGCGTTCCCCCTTCTGGTCAAAGGATATTCTGGAGACAAGTCTTGAATCTGTGAATACTTTGGTCTCAACTCCAACTGAGGTTCCATGTAAAAATTTCTAAGTTAATTAAATTCAATTCCTTGTTAAGACCCAAATGGCCATAATAAGAAGCTGCTGGAATAAATTATGAATAGCATTGTGACATGGAATACTATGCAGCGGGAAAAGAATGATGTGGATCCGTGAATTTGTGTTATGGAAAAATATCCATAGAAATAGTTGAAAAGTAGCAAGGTGCTGAACAGTATACTGTTTGTGGGCCTCTCTGGTAGTACAGGGTTAAAGACACAGTGCTATCAAGCTATCACCAGCCACTGTAGAACGAGTGGATCCCAGCCAGCCAGGGAGCTACCCACATGGTGCTGCAGACCTCTCCTGTCTCTCCCACTGGTCCCCTCAGCAGTGTATTTCAGTAGATCTGCCTGTTCTACTCCCCACTCTATCTCTGGTGAATCCTCTCACCCCCCCTCCCACCTCTGGCCTACACCCCAGTTCTTGTATGCATAACTAAATAAATCTTTAAAAAACATTTATATTGTTTGTGTTTAAAGTATCTATGAATAAATTTATATGCACATATGTACGTACAAGAAGTATCAGACTTAATATACAGAGAATATATAAGAAATTTGTAATTGTCTTTACTATTAGGGAGCAGGACTAGAGTCTGGAAATTTGGTTGAGATACATCTATTTTATTTCTGTATGTCTTTTGTTGAGATATATCTCCCATCTATATGTCTATCATCTATCTATCCAGTAACAGTAAGTTTTAAAGCTAATATGAGATCCCAGTGCCCTTCACCCAGTTTCCCCCAATGGGTGCATCTCAACTGTAGTATAATATCAAAAGCAGGAAATTGAAATTGGTATGATGTACCTGCATAGTTCCATGTTATGTAGATTTATCTAATGACTATGATCAAAATAGAACTGTTCTGTCACCACAAAGGTCATGGAGGAAAACTTTACACTGAATTCTGTGTACTGTTTGAATTTACCAAGACCCAGCTCTAGGTTGATAGTCCATCCTGCAGAGCTGACCAATACTAAAATAAAACTTTTTGAAGATATTAGGTCAGGAATTCAAAAGTCTGGCTTTTTGATTACAAAGTATGACATGCTTATTAAGAATAAATTTTTAATGCAGAAAAACATGAATAAAAATAAACTATCACCCACCAAGCAGAGATAAATACTGTTACTATTTTGGCAAACTTCATTTTTTTCTACATAGGTAATTGAAAAATAGGCACATATCCATACAAATCCCCTCATGTTCTCATATTTTATAACTGAATACATTATATACACAATTCTAGTCTGCTTCTATTAACATATCTAGAGCATTTTTCCTACTCTAATAAAAATTCTTTCAAACATAATTTTGTTTTTATATATACATATACACTATTATATATGTAAGATAGAACTGTAAAAATGATCTGATTCCCATTTGCATCAATGCTATTAACAAGTGTTGGGTTTAGAGAAATCAATTCACTTTTCTGGCACCATGTTCTCATCTGTGAAATGGAGGACAGTTTTAAGGTCCCTTGCCTCTCGTGAGTCAGTGAGTAAGGGCTAAGGCACACTGGTGAAGATAATCTAGAAACTGAGCACATTTCCTTTACTGAACAGGAGTTTCTGGAAAAGTACTGGGTTTCTAGAGCAGTGCTGTAACTGAAAGGATTCCTAGGGACAGGTTCAGGCAGTGTGATTCTAGCAAGAAAGAGCTACCAAATATAGCTCTCCAGAATCTGAATGTTGATTGTCTTCTTAGCTTAGAAAATGGGTAACTGCTCACTTCTTAGTGAGACGGAGGAAATAATATTGGCCTCTAATCTCATGACTATCCTATTTCAGAATGTATGTAAAATGCTTTTGTTTAATTCATTATATGTTCACTAATTCAATAAATATTTGTTAATCAATAACAGGCCTTGTGCTAGATGTAGGGCGGAAACAAATACTGTTCTTGCCATCATGAGCTTAGAGTCTACTGAGGATAACAGACATGAACCAGAAATTTGCTTACCTATCTAATTAATTATTCCTACAAAGGAGCTGTTCAAAGTATCATGTAAAAGTATAATCTGGATCCATCTAATGAGGAAAGTCTGGAGAGATGACACCTGAAAATGAAAATGGAAGAATTTATATATTACGATTCTATGGGTCTGGAATTCTTAGGTCATAACCTAGGAATCTGCATTTTAACAAGTATCACATATGATTCCAATACAGTTGACCACTGGCTCATTTTTAAGAATGACATGAAAGAGTGGTTCTTAATCCTTTTGAATCCACTAACTCCTATGAAATTCTAATGAAAACTATGAGCCTTTTCCCTAGAAAGTTGCACATGTACTCAAGAAGACAACAATGAAAACATATTGTGAATGCAAATGCAGGGTAAAAACCAGTACTGACTGGAGAAAACTGGTTCTGTCTGAAGAAAACTGGTTCAAACTGCTTCTGACTCATTCTGAATAAATAATAATGCTTCAAACCAGTTTTGACTGGATAAAGCTGGTTAAAACCAGTCCTGACATAATAATCCAGTCCAACACAGTTCTGACTGGAAAAAACTGGTTCCAACTAGATAAAACTGGTTTTGACTGGTTTTAAGTAGGCAAAACTGTTTGAAACCAGTTTGGGTCAGAGAAAACAGGTTCAAACTAGTTTAAACTGATTCTGATCCATTTAAAAGAGTTCAAACAGCATCTGACTGCAAACTAGTTCTGCCTGGAGAAAACTGACTCTGACTGGAGAAAATCGGTTCTAACAGACAGTACCAGTTCAAATCAGTTCACACAAATTCTGACCAGAGAGAAATTGTTCAAACCAGTTCAAACAGTTTGACCACATGAAACTTTCAAATTGGTTCAAAAAGTTCTGCCTGGAGAAAACTGGTTCAAATGTGTTATGACTGGATAAAACCAGCTTAAACCAGTTCAAGTGGGTTCTGACCTGTTCAAGCCAGTTTTGACAAGATAAAACTAGTTCAAATAGGTCCAAACTGGTTCTGACCTGTTCAAATTGGTTCTGACCAGTTCTGACTCATTCAAACCACTGAAACCTGTTTAGGCTGGTTTTAACTGATTCTAACTGGAGGAAAAAAAATGGCTCAAACCAGTTAAAAATGGTTCTGACCAGTTCAAATAAGTTCTGATGTCATAAACCAGTTCTCTCACCAGACAAGCAACTGTTTGAAATTGGTTCTGATTGATTCTGACCACAAAATAATGGCTCAAACCAGTTTAAACTGGTTGAAACTGTTTCTGCTGAGGAATATGTGCTCAAACTGGTTCAAACTCTTTTTGACCTGTTATAACTGATTCTGACACAATCCAAACTGGTTCTGACAGGAAAAAACAGCTCAAACTGGTTAAAACTGGTTATGAATGGCTCAAAGCAGTTCTGACTAGTTTTGAGCAGATCAAGCCTTTCAATATGGTTCTGACTGGAAGAAAACCAACTGTGCCTGATTTATACTGGTTCTCACCTATCCATACTGGTTCTGGATGGTCAAACTGGCTCCAGCTTGTTCAGGTAGCATAAATCAAGCTGAAAATGATTCAGACTTTTTCTGATGTATTCATACTGTTTTTTTTTTTTTAAAGATTGATTTATTTATACAAGAACCAGGGTATAGGCCAGCTTCGCAGGAGGGTGAGAGTATTCACCAGAGAAAGAGCGGGGAACAGAACAGGCAGACTGACGAAATACACTGCTGAGGGGAGCAGCAGGCACGACAGGAGAGTTCTGCCGCGACCATACTGGTTTTGACAGGAAATAAACCAGCTTAAACTGGGTCTGACTGGTCAAAACCCAGCTCAAACCAGTTCTGAGTGCTTCTGACTGGTTCAAATTGTTCTGACCAAAAAAAAAAAAAAAAATATGGCTTAAACTGGTCGAAACTAATTCATTCTGATTCTGACTGGATCACATCTTTCAAAACAGTTCTTAATGGTTCTGACCTTTTCAAACCAGTCCTGAAAGGAAAAAAAACACAGCCCAACTCAGTTCTAACAGGAAAAATCCTGGCTCAAACTTGTCATCATCAGATGAAACAGGCTCAAACTGGTTCTGACTGAAAAAAAAAAAGCTCAAAATTCATTCAACTTGGTTCTGACCTGTTCAAACCAGTTCTAAAAGGATCAAAAAAGCTCAAACAACTTCTGACCTGAAAAAAAATAGGCTCGAAATTGTTCTATTTGAAAAAACTGGCTTAAACCCATTCAAACTGGTTCTCACCTCTTCATGCCAGTTCTGAAGGGGTAGAACTGGCTCAAACCTGTTCTGACCAGTTCAAACCAATTCAAAGTGATTCAGATATAATAAAACCATTTCAAACCAGATCTGACTGTGGAAAATGTGTTCAGACTGGTTCAAACTGGTTGAAACTGGTTCTGATCAGATAAGGTGATGAAAATCCCAGTGTTACCATGCTTATAATTCTTTCATTAGGGAGTCCTGTTATAGAGATTTTGTTCTGTATCATGGCAAGTAGCTTTTTTTTTTTTTTTTGAAACAGAGATTCACAGAATAGAAAACATCTTTAAGTGCATGCATTGTATATGTGTGCT